GTTAAAGTGAATTTACATGCAGCTTTAAAGAAACCTGTGTGAGGTTTTTATTAGGGCATAAAATCTGAGGAAAACCTTTTCAAAATTGCCCTTATCTGAGGGAGAATTACTAGCTGTCGTGATGGGACTGACATTGGCCATGAAGCCACATGACCTCCATGACTTAACTGGAAAGGATGCACATCCATTTGGTCTGATTGTCCACATGGCCCCAGGTTTCTGCTCATGTCCCTTCTTATAGGGCAGGCCTTTGGTCTGACCCAGGTGTAATCCTTTATTTTGAAATGTCCTGGTAGTGAGGAATGTAGGATTTCAGGGTCTACCTTAGAACTGAGTCAGAATACACATGCACCATGGTCTGGAAACTCTTGTTTTGTTTTGTTTTGTTTTACATGGTCCTGGGGATCAAGTCTAGGCTTTGCATGTTCCAGTTTTGTTTTGTTTTACATGGTCCTGGGGATCAAGTCTAGGCTTTGCATGTTCCAGGTGAGACGCTGAGTAAACTGGGGACACTCTCCCCTTTTCACTTTTTGAGACAGCCTGTCACTAAGTCACCCATGCTGGCCTTGGACTTGTCTCTAGCTTGAACTGGCCCTGAATTGTCCATCCTCTTGTAGTCTCCTGATTATCTGAGGTTGCATGCCTATGCCTCCAGGTGAGACCTAAAGGTCCTTACATAATAGGTCGGGGTCCACCAGCTTGGATCTATATACCTAAAAGATATACTTGAAGAGCCAGGGGCATGCTGCTTGGGACCAGGCACCTAAACTGCGCTCCAGCCAGGCACTTGTGAATAGGCAGCAGCTCTGGAGCCCAGATGAGCTTTCCTGGGGCCCTCAGGAGGGAGGAGTGTGTCCTGGTCTTGGAGCAGGTGCTGAGCACCAGATCTGCCTGTAGCCGTGGCCCAAGCAGAGCGGCTGAGATCCTAGTGATGCTGGCCAGGCAAGATGTGAGAGTAGAGCATCACCTGGCAATCACTGGGGGCCTGGGGCCATGGGAGTATCCTACAGATGCCTGCCTAATGTCTAAGTGGAAGGCATTTTTTTACAAGCAGGGATCCCTCAGGGAACAGAACAGCTCCTAGAGATGAGGCACTGAGGGAGCCACGTGGACAAGGAACAGAGTCACAGTCCTCTAGAAGGGACTGTGTGCTGGGCCAGGGTGATAGACGGGATGAGGTACCTGCCTGGGAGAATCCGTGCGCTGTGCCACAGGCCCTGGTGGGTTTGGCCGTGATGATGCAAGGACAGTTAGCCGGACAGCAGAACCTCTGACCTTCCCATGAAAGTAAAGTAAGGTGCTTTACTCAGAGAGGATTTGAACTCACAGGAAGAGCTGGGGAAGGGGTACCTTGGCTTAGTCTACAGGCCTTGCACAGGATGGGAGGGGGACATGTGTACTTGGGGCCAGTGGAACTCTGCTGAAGTGAGTCAGAGAGCATCTGAGTTGAACTGCGGGTCATGTGGACAAATTAACCTAACCAAAAATAACCTAAAACAGCATTTCTGGGAATTCCAGTTGAAGACAGCGTCCAGTGTAAACAGAAGAACAAGAGGTGAGAGGAGGAAGACCAGCCAGACAGACGGCCAGACAGATGGGCAGACAGACAGGACATTTGGCCTGGAGTCATCACTTTTAAAGCATTTTTTTTCCCTGCCTGTGTTTTCATCAGGCAGCTCACAGCTTTGCCCTGACCTAGACCTGGCCAGTTGCTGGCCTGGGGACAGCAGCCCTAAGCTCTGGGCTGACTCTACATGGACACAGGAAGTGCTTCCTGTTGTTGTCACTAGAGTCCCCAGGGGACGCCCTGATGCTTTGTAAAGTGGTCCTTATCTTAGCCTGGGTCTTAGTACCTGGATCACACAAGGACAATCCCCTGCAGGACTGGCCCTGGTGCTTAGGGCTGTCCTGGTGAGCCCTGTTGTCAGCACACCCTATTCTGTCTTCATCTCTAGGCTTGGAGTGGGGAGCTGGGTTTTGCTAGTGGCTCTCTGGTGATGATGGGGGATGCAGGTCTCCTGTGACTGGTCAGAACATCCTGGCCTCCTCTTGGAAGCAGGATGTAGTGTCAGGAGCTGTGGGAGTCAAGCAGCCAGAACAGGCTGCTGATGGCTGGTGGCCATGTACTGAAAGGTTGTAGCTGAGCTGCTCACAGTCTCCTGATAAGGGTGTGGCTTGTTTCCACCTTTTGGGTTGGTTAGTGGGAGAAGGCATTCCTGTTGTAAGTGCTCACCTGCTGAACCGTGGAGCTGTGAAGCTCCAGGTGCCCGGCTGTGTCGTCCAGCCTGGTTTGGAATTCAGGGCTCTTGCGTTCTGACTTCCTGGTGCCAGGGATCACAGGTGTCTGTGAAATAGTAGCTTTATAAACTTAAGCACTCTCTGGCATCTTGTATAACTTTATTAGTATTGTCTATGCACATGGTGTGGGTACATTGTCGTCCTAACATATGCATGTGGGGGACAGAAGACAGCCCTGGGGAGGGGGTCCTCCTACCCTCTTAGGTCGTTTTCAGGAATTGAACTCAGACTTGTGAGTCAAATGTCTTTATTCCTGAGCCATTTTGCCTCTTCATTGACTTTTCCCTCCTTGCCTGCCTCCCTTTCTGCCTCCCTTTCTGCCTGCCTCCCTTTCTGCCTGCCTGCCTGCCTTCCTGAGACAGAATTTCATGCAGCCCAGGTTAGCATTGAACTTGTTATATAACCAAGGGAACTCTGATTTTTGACCTCTCTGTCTCTACCTCCTGGGTGCTAGGATCACAGGTTTGCTCCATCCTGCCCCTGTCATATGGAGTGCTGGGCATCAAACCTAGGAGTCATGTATGCTAGGCAGGCACTCTGCCAACACTCTCAGACCCAACTGAAATGTCTTGATAGCTTCTTGGTAAAGTTAGCCATAGTGAATTGTCTTTGTAAAGTGAATGAATGGCTAGGATTTATTTTCTTGTGTTTAGTTGAAGCTCATAGAGACTGGCTGGTGGCACATTGCCTATAGGGATCTGTTGTGTTCCACTGAACACCGGGATGCAGAGTGAGCCTTTTGTGTTGTTGTTGTTGTTGTTGTTAGGACAGGGTCTCTTTATATAGCCCTGGCTGGCCTGCAACTCACAATGTAGGTCAGAATGTTCTCTAACTCACAGAGGTCCACCAGCCTCTGCTTCCCAAGTACTGAGATTAAAGGTACACCTTCATGCCTGGTCAAGAGTAAGCCTTATTGACCCCAGTTTAGCCGGGTTTCTTCTGAGTGGCTCTGACACTGGGCAGCAGCCTGTGCCTTCTTTATTCACAGGCCTCTGGGCCTGCCATCTGCCACCAACAGGCAGGTAACAATGGGAAGCCATGGGCAGGATTTTAGGGGCATCATATCCCAACTGCTCACTGCTCAGGTTCAAGGCTCTGGATCAAGAGTAGCTGCTAGTTCCTCAACTTCATGGCCCCATGGTACACAAATCAGCTGCTCAGTTGTGGAACCTACAAGTCTTTTGCTAAGATTTAAAATCTTGAGCCTTTTTCTAGTATTAGAAAATTTGAGATCTTTATTTTTTAAAGATTTTATTTATTTTATGTATGTGAGTACACTATAGCTGTCTTCAGACACACCAGAAGAGGGCATCAGATCCCATTATAGATGGTTGTGAGCCACCATGTGGTTGCTGGGAATTGAACTCAGGACCGCTCTTAGCCACTGAGCCATCTCTCCAGTACCAAAAATTTGAGATCTTAAAACTGAATGAAAGCATTGCTATTTTAAAATTTTACATCTAGTCTATTTGTGCTGTAAAGGTTTTCCAGTACTGATGGGGGGGGGGGGAATGGAGGATATGCTGCAGTTCCTTTCCTTCCCAAGGGCCAGTCTGCTGATCAGGGCTCGTGGACCCAGTTCCATGTTTACACATGAGAACCTTCTCCTTACACCCAGAGAAGCCAGGATGCTGTGTCAGTCCAGCTGTGGTGTCCCATGGTGTATATGCAGGGTCCCTGTCTCTGGTTAATGACATTTTCAGTGTTAGTTCTCTTCCTGTGTAAAAGCTTTGATGTGGTGAATCCTACTGTGTTACAGAACCTTTCCTGGAGAGGTGCAGAGCACATCTGCTCACCCCAGATAGGGAGCTCAGACAGACCAAAGTACAGACACCAACAAGTCCAACTTGAGTTTTATTGGGGCTACTTATAGGAACATAAATGACTCAAAGACAGTTCCATTGCCGTGGCCCACCCTGGCATGGGTGACAGCTCACAAAGCTGAGAACCTGGAGCACACTAAATGGCCTGCAGGTAGCTTGAAAGGTTGGGGAGTGTCATTTCCAAGTGCTGCAGTTGGTCTAAACCTCTTCCAGGCAGCTTGGTCTCCGAGTCTTTGTAACTTGTTCTCATGAGAGTCATCTTTCCAACTCAGCTTCACTGTCAATTTTGCTCCTTTGGGAGTATTTGCTGCTTGGCTTTCTTTCATCTGAAATGACTTTTAGCTTTTATTGTTTATTCTGGCAGGGAGGGCTGGGCCTAGTGAATCTGGTCAGTTTCAGGGACTTCCTGAAGCTGTCTTGAGTTGTTCATCTTCCTGTTCAAAGAGCTTCCTCCCAGAATGGAATGTTTCAGTCTAAGAGGAAGATGTTACAGAGCAATCCTTAGAAGTGGAATTGTGGGATTCTCTTTGAGCTGTTCAGGTTGTACCTGGACAGGTGAGCTGTTCTCTGCCTTTCTGTGGCTTTCAGAGCTCTGTGGAATTTGTCACAGGAAAGCATTTAATTTAAAGCTGTACAAACAGGGTTTTGCCTTAGATGAAAGCATTGATGCATGCCACCCTGGCTAGGACTGCTGTTCTGGATGGTTGATGACTCATCCTACACAGAGGTCAAGGATCACTGATGGGCCTGGAGACAGGAGTGGACAGGAAGTGTGCTGTGTTATGGTGGGGAAACTCGAAGCCATATTTGTGTGTGTGACTTTCAACAAGAGTCAGTTGTGTAGAAAAAAAGTAAGAAGATGATATTCTGTCTCCTCAGATGGCTCCCAGAACAGAGACCCCTGTCAGCAGCGTCAGCAACAGTCTGGAGAACGCATTGCATACGTCAGCACATTCCACGGAGGAGTCCCTGCCCAAGAGGCCTTTGGGAAAACACGGCAAAGGTGGGTGAGTTATGCTGGACACTGGTGGGAGATCCCAGGGAGAGGAGAAGGCATGTACTGTACAAGGCTGTGGACTGCTGAGACGTGGTCTCTTCAGGTGTGCTCAGTCACTGTGGACTGCTGTGACATGGTCTCTTCAGGTGTGCTCAGTCACCGTGGACTCCTGAGACGTGGTCTCTTCAGGTGTGCTCAGTCAGGCTGTTTTTCTGATTCTCCCTAGGAACTTGAGATCTCACTTTAGCAATATGAACTTTAAACACTGGTGTTTATTAAGGGAGGGAAAAAAAGGTTTAAATATCTTCTGCCCCTCACACCAGAACAAAGCCTCAAATCTAAAGCAGCTGAGCCGTAGAACACTTCTTTCCCAACCAGATGGCTCCTAAGATTTACTCCATGCTGATGTAGTGACAGGTACTCCTGTCATCACTCACTCAGTGCCTGCCACCAGCCTCAGTGAGGTCCCACACTGCCCATGCCACTGAACAAGAACCATTGTAAAAAACGTAACTGGAGTGTAGGTTGCTTGGTGTGGACCTGCAGCTATGGAGCCTCTCGGGTCCTTCTGACTTAATGCCCAGATTGGCTCAGGAAGCATCTGGGTGGTCACAGCGGTGACTGGGTATAGTTTAAACTGGATGAGGGTATTGGTGAGACTAAACCTTAGCAGAATTAGGCAGGGAGGCTCCTGGGAGACTGCCCATGCCTACTCCTCACAGATGTGTCTGTCCCTTCTATCATTTGAGCAGTCCTTCTGCCCTTCTCCAGTGCTTGTGTCCCAGATGCCAGCTTCTTATCTCACAGCTGCGTTCTGTACTGCTCTGACAGCCTGTGCTCAGTCTGTGTGGACTGCTGTCTGCTCTGCTAGGTTGCAGCTCAAGGTGATCTGCTTTCTTGCTGCTGTGTCACACATGTGTCCTGAGACCATGGTACAGTAGAGAGCAGTGGGTGACAGATCCTGTGAAGCCTGTTTTCCCACCTGGCACTGGCTGCAAGGTCACAGTATACATGGGGAGGGTTGTTCCCAGGAGACTGTATTCCTCTGTTGACTGTCCCTCCAGGTCTTCTCAGCAATGCTACCCCAGAGTAGAGTTTGCATCCGGAGTGCAGGGCTGCCTTCTGGGGAGAGTGAGCTGAGAGCAGGGCTTCCCATGAAGGCTGCTTCCCCTGTGCTGTACCCTCCGGACCATGCAGAGCATCTGCCTTGTACCACAGTGCTTTCTCTTGGGACATAACCAAGGGGTTGTAGGGGTATAATCTATCTCTTCTCTTCTCCCTCTCCCTCTCTAAGGTTTAGTTTATTTCATGTATATGGGTGTTTTGCTAGCATGTACGTCTGTGCCATGTCTGTGTAGTACTTATGGAGGCTAGAAGAGGGTATTGGCACCCTAGGACTGGAGTTCTGAGAACAGAACCCAGGTTCTTTAGAAGAGCAGCCTGTGCGCTAACCACTGAGGAACCTCTCCAGCCTCGGGGTATAATTTTAAAGCATGGCTGTTACCTACGTTTCCCTGATTGTCTGTGTAAATGCCAAGGAGGACAGGGCTGAGCAGATGTGGCACTGGCTGTGGTGGAGCACACTGCAGGCTGCCCTGTAAGACCGCGCTGCCCACTCTCAGCCAGCCTAGCCTCAGCAATCAACCGACACCTGCTCAGCATAGGCAGGCGAGCTAGCTCAGTGTTCAGTACCTTTCTCGTGGTCCCTTCCTCTGTGCTAAGCTTTTTTTCTCTGCTGTTGTAGAAGTTTTAGGGCAGTCTGATGGAACTTACAGAATGGTCAGGCACTGGGCAGCATCCTGAAGCATCTTGTGTTCCCACTTTCTCACATGCTCTCAGGAACCTGGGAGCATGGGACTGAAACCCTTATTCCCCACAGTAATGCACCCTGCTTTGCAGATGAAACATAAGCTACAGGTGAGCTGTGTCTGAGAGCCTGCTGAGATGAAGAGATGAGAGGAAAGGGAAGGGTTAGTGCCAGCAGTGCAGTCTCTCTCCTGGTGCTATCTCTTACCTTTCTGTGTGGGAGCAGAGGTATTGGTTTGGTGTGGGAAGTTCACAGGCTTGGTGAGTGTTCACCCTCCCTCCTTCCCTCCTTCCTTCTTCCCCTCCCCCACTGACATGGTTGGGGACCATTGTACAGAGAGCTCATCTCAGATCCCTGTCCCTGTGCCAGTGTTGCAAGTAAGGGGTTAGGGGCATACCCGAGTGCAGGTGGAAGAGGAGACACCCAGTGATGCTTACTGTGGGCGGGACTGGGTCACTGTGGGCAGCCTGTGCCTGTGCACCCAGAGCTGGAGTAGCTGGCCTGTGTGCTCACTGTGGGCAGGACTGGGGTGGAGCAGCCTGTGCCTGTGCATCTGGAGCTAGAGTAGCTGGAGTAGCTGGAGTAGCTAGCTGTATCTGACAAGATAGTGAAGGTAGGCTGCTTCTGTTGCCTTGATTAAACTGCAGCTCTGACATCTCAGAACTCGGGTTCTCCGTGTTCTTAAAATGACAGACTTGAAGGAATTTATGTTTACAGTATCATGTCTGTAATAACTGTACACCATGAGACAAAGTGGAGGCTCTCAGCCTGGGCAGTGTTTGGTTCTGTACCACTTGGGCTTACAGCTTTGTTACATAATGTTATCACGGTGAAGAGCAGCTAAAAGACTAAACCAACCGCAAGAGGCTTGGCCTTTTAATCAAAACGAAACTCCAAGTAAAAGCATGAGTTTTAATAAGATAGAAGTTAAGGATGTAAGCTGATTCCTAAAATCATAGCAGTGGGTTCTCTCCTGAGTTGCTCTGGAACCACAGTGCTGGGACATGCCTGGTTCTGTGCTCCGCCTCACTGTGAGGACAGAGCACATAGTTCAGAATTTTGTGGCGAGTGCATGTGCCTGGACCACAGTTTTATGCCACTGTTGTTGTTATGCAGTGCTAAAGATCGAACCCTGGACCTTGCACAGTGTGTCTTAAGTCAGTGCTGTCCCGTCTGTAGGCTGGCTGTCCACAGCCGTCCTCAGCAGTTCTCGTTTAAACCACAGGACACACCACAGGATTTGAGTGGCTGCTTCCTCAGTTTCCCTAAAGAAAATGAGGCTGGGATTTGGGATTGAGGGACATTCCCCTTGGAGTTTGTCTAGGAGGCGGCTGAGTCAGGAGCACACAGCGCGGACAGAGCTGGGGAGTGCACACCCTTCACTTGTCAGCCTCCACTCGGAGCTAATATCTCACCACGTTACATGAAACCTAAGAACCTGGATTAGAAAGCTGGCTCAGTGGCCTAGAGGACAAGGTTGCTCTTCAGAAGGACTCCTGGTTGAGTCCAGATGATGTCTCAAAACCATCCTAATTCCAATTACAGGGATTACTGTGCCCTGTGACCTTTATGGATACCAGGCATACATGTATACATATATAAATGCAGGCAAAATATTCATACACATAAAATTAAGTAAAATTTAAAAAGCATAAATCTACAAATCTTGACCTGTGTGTGCACATCCAGCTCTTGAGATCGAGCGTCAGCACTGAAGTCTGTGGCAGCATCAACACCTCTGGCAGTGGCCGGTGCTGCGAATGAGGGTGCCAGCGATGCCGCGGCTCTCCGCGTGCCCTCTGCAGAGCTGCCTCATGGATCACAGCTCTAGATGCTGTGTGTGTGCTGTGTGCTCATAATATGACCTTAAGAGTTTTGCATAAATCTTGAGAAGGGGAAAGGATAGTCTTTGAGTGATCTGTGTTTACCCTTTGGCTGCCCTTTTCTTCCTAAAAGCGTCTGTTCCCAGTTTATTTTGTGCATCTCTGCAGGTATGGACTCTGCCCCTTTTCATTAGCCTGACGCTGTGGCTCCCTGTGACTTCATTCTTGCTGCTCATGGAATGCTTGGCTGAGTTGGTTTAGCTCTCTGGCTTTGCCAGAGGCACTCTGTCTGTCTTCCTGCTGTGTGCGGTTGGCAGTCTTTATGCCAGTGCTATTTTTCTCTGGTTGTTTTTTAGTTTTCCTTGGTTGGGAGTCATCTGACTACACTGTCCCTACGTGTGTTTTTTCTTATAGCTCCGTCACTTCTTGTACTTCCCAAGTCTGGAGGATTTCCAGCTGTCACTGACTCCCTCTTCTCCTTTCTGTCAGGCACTCCAGGGGCTGTGTGTGCTGTTCCCTCCCCACATCAGACCTGTTTTCACCGTACCCTCTCCTCTCAAGACAGGACACTTTTCGTTGCTCTACAGATCCAGTCCTTTGTATTCTCAGCCTACCCTCCACTGGGTATTCTTACATCAAATAATGCATTTCTTCATTTAAAAATCTTCATTTAGGGGGCTGGAGAGATGGCTCAGTGGTTAAGAGCACTGACTGCAATTTCAGAGGCCCTGAGTTCAACTCCCAGCACCCACATGGTGGCTCACAACCATCTGTAATGGGATCAGATATGCTCTTCTAGTGTGTCTGAAGATAGCTACAGTGTACTCATATTCATAAAATAAGTAAATCTGTAAAAAAAAAAACTTCATTTGGTTCTCCTTTTGTTGTTTGGCTTTGCTTTGTTGAGGTAGGATCTCATGTAGCCCAGGCTAGCCTCACACTCAGCTCCATTGCTGATGATGAGCTGGGCCTCTGACCCTGTCTGTTTCCCCAGTGCTGGGATTGGATTTAGTTACCACACCCAGCAGATTGGTGCTGATGGTAATGTGGGGATGCAGACCTGGCTTGTTTTCTCCACTGAGGACAGAACTGAGAAACAGTAACGACAGTTTGTGAAGGCAAATTCTGTTCGTATTGACAGGTGCCTGGAGGATGAGGAAACTGGGGTCTTAGCAGAGCCACCATACGATACCAGGGAACTGTGGGTCTCTCCTAGTGTTCGTGGTCTCATTAATAAACTAATTTAAGAAGAGATACAAATGGAAGCTTGAAGACAGTTTACTAAAATCTGTAAGGAAAACCCCAGGCAGCAAGCTGTGACTCTCACAGCTGCCTAGAGAAGAGAGAAGCTCAATTAGCATGGGGGCAAGCACATGGCAGAGGCCGCCGCCGCCACCCATAGGAACTGGAGAAAGAACACAGAAGCTCAAAGCATTAGTTAGAAAATAGGCCTTGGCCATCTGTAGGAAAAAGAAAAGAAAAAGAAGTGTTTACACATTTCTAAGTTAGGACCCGGAAGGTGAGCAGACCCAGCCAAAGCTCATGGTGGCTCATAGGGACTGTCCAAGGGGTGGGAATTCTGGAAAGGAAAAATATCTTAAAGTAAACCCACATTCCTAGAGATGGTCCTGTTTTTTCTTACTTTTTATTTTGTTGAGTTTGTTTAGTTTTATGGGTGTTTGCTGGCGTGGATCTACGTTCACCACATGTTGTCTGATGACAACAGAGACAGGAAGGAGGGCATCAGATCCCTCACTCCTGAAACTGGAGCGACAGACTATTGTGGGCTGCCCTGTAGGTACGGGAGACTGAGCCTAGGTTCTGTGAAAGAGGAGCAAGCATTCTTAACTGACGAGTCATCTGTCCAGCTCCTCCTTACTTTTTTGTTGCATGACCAAAGCAACCCATAGAAGAAAGAGTTTCTTTTGAGTTAAGGTTCTAGAGAGTTTAGAATTCATAATGTTAGGGCAGCAGCACGCAGGCACGGCGGGCAGGGCGGCAGCACGCAGGCACGGCGGGCAGGGCGGCAGCACGAAGGGTGGATGCTCACATTTGGAAGCACAAACACATAGTAGAGAGAGCAAGTTAAAAAAGGTCCAAGTCCCAGCACTTGGGAGGCAGAGGCAGGCGGATTTCTGAGTTCAAGGCCAGCCTGGTCTACAGAGTGAGTTCCAGGACAGCCAGGGCTATACAGAGAAACCCTGTCTCGAAAAACCAAAAAAAAAAAAGGTCCAAGTCTTTAAACTCTTAAAGCCCACATCTGGTGTCACACTTCTCTCAGCAAGGCCTCACATTCTAGACCTCCCCAAACAGTCAAGAGCTTTAGTGTCCCAGACCATGGGGACATTCTCATTCAAACCACCACTTAGGACTAGAGTTTGACTCTACAACCCTAGTCCTAGGGGATTCTGTGCTGCCTTCTGACGTCACTCCACAGGCACCTGGTACACATGGAGTACATGTACACATATACAGGCAAGCACTCAGACACACAAAACAAATTTAAAAATATGAAAAAAATATAAAGAAAAAGGAAATGTCAGACAGCTTGTCTCTTACAGGATGGTCCCAGCCCTGTGAACCTGTCAGGCCTGGACCCATGAGACTTAGTTTCTTCTTGTTTCTGCATCTTCATCCCAGTGTTCTGGGCTCTCCATTCTGTTCCTCTGGCTTTGTCGTCTAGGTGACGACCACTGTCCTGGCTCACAGCCTGGCAGCATCCGAAGCCCCGGTGCTGTGTGTACTGGTCTGCTGTGTTGTAGTCCCCTGCAGCTGGGGCTAGGGTTCCTCTCCTGAGGTGACGACATGAGGCTTACAGGGACCCGTAGCTGCCAACACTGTGAGCAGCTAGCCTCACAGCTAGCTAGAGTCACGAGCTGCCTAGAACATAGAGATGAGCTTAGGATTCCCCACATGGCATCATGACTGTGGCCCTCGTTCCTCTGACCTTTTCCCTGACCCTGGTCTCCTCTGACACTGGCTTTCAAGGTGCTTGTGGACAACTGCAGTGTCCTGCCCCCAGATCTTGATATGCATCAGTTGTGACTTGTCCACATCAGTGCTGGTTAAAATCCAGGTGGCACAGTGCCAGCTTTTCACATGGCTTTTAGAGTACCTGCTGTCAGCCTCGTTTCCCTAGATCCCACAGGTTAGTGCGGAGCCGCGGGGTCCTAAGAACCCGCACACTGTATCCTGAGAGAGTACAGGAAAGGAGGAGCTGTGAAAGCCGTGCTCATAGTGTCCTTTACTTACTTACCCTCTGTGCCCTACCCCAGTGCTGACCACAGGGTGCTCTTCAGAGCAGTGGGCAGGCTTCTGGGACACAGCTTTGTCAGTGCCCTAAAGACAGGCACACAGAGCTGCAGTGCTGTTGTGTGGGAGTGTATGTCTCTGGCTCTCTTGTCCAAAGGAGGAGGGGCAGCAACCAAACGTGTGCCCAGGCCAGCTGCAGGTGTCAGGTGCTGTTGGTGTGACAGTTCCCAGTTCCTGAAATCCCAGCAGCTTCCTGGGAGTTGAGACCTTTCTAGTGTGTAGTGTTGCCTCTGGCCTCCTACACATCTGTCGTCTCTGTGCAGTTGTGTGAGTGTTTGCCTTTGTGGTATTGGGGCGTAACTCTGGAACTGAGGCTCCTGTGCACACGAGGCATGCACTCTGCCACTGAGGCAGGCCCTCTGGTTCCTGTAGTCATGGCACCTAGTGATCTCACGTTGGAGAGCACACTGAAACATGGTATTTAAAGCATCCTTACTACATTTATGTGTTTACTTAGTGTGTGCTGTGACATAGCTCATCTGTGGAGGTCAGAGAACTCTCATGAGCTGGTTCTATCCTATTACCTGGGTCCTGGGGAGTGAGTCAGGCCATCAGGCTTGGTGGGAGGCGCCTTTATCTGCTAAGCCACTACCCTGCTCTGAGCATCAGGAGCCTGGAAGAAGCACCTACAAAGAGCTGGAGCAGAGGCTGCCAGCAGTAGGGCAGTGAGACTTGTATTTAGGTTTAAAACATAGTTCATGGGCAGTGGACTAGCTGTGAGTCCTTGGCCTGGCACCAGAATGCTTTTATATTCAGACAGCTAAAATTTATCTACTTTGCCCATTTTCCTGTCCAGCTCTGAGTCACTTCCCTTGGTCCAAATGGGCGTTTCCTTTTTCCTTTCTCATGCACCCTGATGCTCTTTGGTCTGGGAACACTGGGTTCACATCGATTCCCTGGGTAGGGCAGGCACTGGTCCTACAGTTGCTTAGAGAAGGAGGCAGTCTAGAATGTTGTTACTGAGTCTGTGCTGAGGGTTGCTTCCTGCTGGTCTCTAGCTGAAGGAGGAACTGGAATGGCCAGGGCACCGCACTGGCCATCAGGATAGTGGCTCATCTCTTTTCCCTGTGGATTCCTCCATTTTCCCTGCAGCTGTGCTGGAGCTGAGTGCTCTGCTGTGATACAGCGCTGTCCAGACAGGAACACTCCCAGGACAGCCGTACAGAGCAGGGTGCATTGCTGAGAGTTTTTTCCCTCTCTAGATCTTTTGTCTATGAAACTTGTGGGTTATCCCTCAGCATCTCACAAGACTGGCATTCTGGAAGGCACTGGCTCTGCTGACCAGACGACTGCACCTGCTGGGAGTGTAAAGCCTGTTAAGTGTTTCACCACACATTGCTAGGGCTCATAGTGTGCTGAAATCTCTGCAGTCTGTGGAGGTGGCTGTGCTCTTCCCTGGTTGCCTAATGTGACTGTCCTGCCTGTGGAGAGTGGTTGCCTGGAAGAAGAGGCTGAGTCTCTGGGTGGGATCCGTCGGCAGCACTGTTGTCTGGAGGAGGTGTGTGCCCAGGTAGAGAGTGTAAGTGTGAGCCTGTACTTGGACTTACCTAGAAACAGTGCTTAGAGTTTCATTTCTGAAGAGAAGGATTTGGAACAGGAAGTGGAATGACACTGGAGGGGTCCATGGTGACAGAAAGTCTCCTTTAGATTTGTTAAAGCATTGTCTGTGCCCAGCCTTGTAATCATGTCACACTATCTGGGA